TGGCAGGCAGGAGGTGTATGAAGCCAGGCTGCACTGTGATTAGAAGGTGCTCCCTGTTGAGTGCTTGGTGGAAAACTCTGCCAGAAGCAGTGGGAAACAGGAATCCCTGTGTCTGCATGGTGCAGCTCATTTGCAGCTCTCCCATTTCCCTGCCCGGCTCACGGAGCCCTAGCAGGCAGATGGGGCTTTTCCAAGGCCAGCTGTGTCCCAGTTCTGTGCTTCATGGCTCAACAGCATCCCCGCAAGAGCTGCCCCTGGGAAGTGTGGAAAGGGGATTGGCTGCAGCTTGGATTTGGGGACAAGGAAGTGGGCTAAGCACAGCAAATGGGCTAAGCACAGCTGTGCAGAGGCAGGAGCCAGCCTGGAATATGGTGCCTGGACTGGGAACTGGTTCCCAAACTTTCTCTGCTCCCCAAACCTTTTGACTCACATCCTGTATCCACCACCATGGTGTGCACATGCTGTCTCTTGCTCCAGGCATGTTTCAGAGTCTTACCAGAGTCCTCCTGAAATCCATAAGTGAAGCACTGTTCCACTGTAAGCAAAGCATTGGTCAGACCCATAATAAACAGCAAGCTCTGACATTTAACACATGTAATGCTGTTTGCCCAGTTTTATAAAGGAAATATTATCTAAGCACTTCTCTGAAGACCAGAGCCACCCACGCTTAGCTGTGCTCAGTTTGGCCACTCTGACCTGTGCAATACTGCTATCACTTCCAGAATATAACATTCTGAACCCCTAGTAAATTGTGCAATGTACCGAATGAAAAGTTTCTCTGTATGCTTAAAAATCCCCCTCCACTCCCAGATCCTTTTTGTGATAGAGAATAAATAAAGAAAAACTTTATAACTCCCTGAACTGATAGAAAATTAGCATGGTCATAAAAGGCCTCTGTGGCTTTAGCAGAGCAGCTGAAAAGGAAAAATGAATAAACCTGCCACTCATAAAGTAAGGGGCAGAGCTGAAGAGTGACTGCTGCCATTTTATCCTCCTGGCTCTTCTTCCCCCTGTGCAAGTGCAAAAATAGCCTTATGCCCTGTGCAGAAGGCAAGGAAGTGCTCTGCTCTGGGACCCTTCCTGCAGGCACTGCTGCACAGCACATGACTAGAGGATATCCTAAATTAATTTACATAGACATATAAATATAAGCATGTGTGTGTTTTCTGTATGAAATATGAAACCAGCGATTTCTTAGCCAACCCCTTAATTTGTCTGAAACAGCACAGGCATAATGGAAACTGCCCACACATTTTTCCATTGCAAGTTACAAAGGTAAAGAAGCGGGAAATTGGTGACAGAAAAACACACACTCCTTCAGCTGGCACAGAAATGTCACAGGGCCAGGTGGCAACACACAGACACTCCAGTTTGCTGAGAGAAGTGTCATGTTCATTCTGGTGGTCTTCCTGCTGATGCTCTCCCTCCTCACTGCCTTCCCTCCTTACCACAAATAAGACACCGTGGCATTAAGGCCCTGCCATTCAGGCAGGGCAGATTCCTCAAGAGGAAAAGGTAACTTTCCCCCTTTCCTGCCTTCAGCTGGCCCCACTAGGATGTGTCAGGTGCATCAGCAGCTCATTGCAGCCAGCCCCACAACCTCAGTGTGATGGCTGTATCTGGAGCAGCCCCACGAGCTCACCAGCATTTTTCCAAAGAATGCCTTGTGTTGACAGTGCTAACCAGTCTGCACAGCAGAAGGGGGGAAAAGCAGCTGGTAACTAATGCAGGGCTGTGGGGATTCGTGGACGTGTGCATGGTTCTGGTTTTCTCTATATTGTCCTATAACCCATGTGCATCACTGTGGGTTATGTTAGTGGAATTTTGCTGCTCAGCAGCTGTCCGGGCAATGTGAAGCCAGGCCCACTCATCCTTTTAACCATCAAAGGTACAATTCAATCCATTTATGGCTGCCTTGGGGCACTGCTCCACACATCTTTCACAGCAGCTGTGCCAGCTTGATTCATTCCCACCAACTTGACTCAGAAGCCGTGCTCTAATCTGTATCTGCTGATTGATCGGGGGTTAAAAATAAATTGGATGACTTGACTGGTTCCTTGTTTCAGTTTCCCTGCTCAGTTATGCTTGTTTCAATCCCCCCCCATGTCTTTGGTTGAGTGTTCCAATATGTCTTTTCTGTGGCAACGTAAGAAACATAACAACAGCTTCTCCTCACCACCGCCCTGTGCCTGGGAATGTGAGCCACAAACGCTTCCTTGGGCCTTGCTCTCATATGGAGAGTTCTGTACTTAAAAGATGCAGCTGAATTTGGCCGTGGTAACCTCAATCTCCTTGCTAAAGTCTACTACACAAAAGTATTTGATGTACAGTTTTGGTCACTGGAAAGGAGATAAAGAAAACAGAAAATAAAATAAAATAAGCAGCACGGCTCTGAATGGATCATAATTTATTATGAAGTAGGACACTTTGCTTTTAATAAAGACTGTTACTTGGGAGAACAGACAATCCCAATCTGCTCTCCAGGACTCCTCCTATGAAACACCTGGTAGGTCCTATCAGAAGCTATTTGGCTCCCTCAGAGTTTCCAGCCTTGGCAAATTACGAGTGAAACTTTGTGCGTCATTTCATTTATTAGAATAATTTTCCTTCTTCCCCGACACTTTATGTGCTATGTTCTGTATTAATAGTGTAGTAGCATTTCTCAATAGCACCATAATTTACTAATCCAACAAAGGACAGGGATGTGTTTTATATTTCAAGAAATGTGACCAATGCTCTCATCTCTCTCCCAGAGAAACCTGAGAATATTGTTCCCCCCCACATTGTGAAGTAAGAAGCAGAGCTTTCTCCCTGAAAATACCTGTCTTCCCTGTGAAGTGATCCTGGAGTTCCTTGTGCCTTTCATCCATCTGCTGTCAATTTAACTGGCTCCATGAGCTAGTGGCGCCTTCGTATGACCTTGCAAGCATTTACAAAATCTGGTTTCTATAAAAAAATAAGGGGTGATCCCTCTGTTTACCCTCTTTCTCAACTAACCATGTTTTGTTACTACCAGCTTGTGCTAGAACACATCCACGTCCTCCCCACCAGCTCAGGCCTGGATGTGGGATGCTCGGATGCCTTGGCCAAGTTCTCCAGCTGCCGAGGTGACCTCAGCGGAGCCGTCACTGGCGCAGATGTGCGGCGGCTCTGCCCGGACCGCCGCGTTCCTGGAGACCTGGAGCAGCCCAGCAGAGCTGGCACAGCCTCCAGCATGGCCCAGACTGGGTGTGCACGGCCCAGACTGGCTCTGAACCCCCGGCTGGCACCACCTGGGCTGGCCAACACAGAGCAGGCCCTGCCCAGGGGCACCACGCGCATCTCCGTCTGTGAGCTCGCAATCAACCTCGCCCCAGAGGCCAACAGAGACACAGAAAGGATTTACAGGAAGCCATAGAAGGGTCTGGGTTGGAAGGGACCTTAAATGTCATCTATGTGTGCCTGTATATAGCAGAGGGAATTGCCTTTTATGTCTGTCTTGAATCTTTGAGCTCGGGCTGACGGCGATGCCGGTTGGCTGTAACTCTGTGTGAGGTTCCATAAATGTGTGTCAGACCACATAACCCCAAAATAGGCATTTCTCTAGTGACATTTAGCCTCGGTTTTCCAAATGAACACACCGACTTGCAGCAAGGCAGTCTTTCACAGGATGGAACTGTAAGTATTTATTTACCCAGGGTGTAACTTTAATCTTTCATCAGAATGCAGATATGAGCTGCTTTATGACAGTTTGTAAACTTGCACTTTATAAAAATTTGGAAATAAAATCTTTGCCTAACAACAGTTGTGTTCTTGGAAATCAAGTTCCATCTACAGAAACCTTTTATCTTAGAGATACATCCCACATGTGAGTCATTCTTACAATTCAATAAATACTTTACAAAAATAATGCTAGCTTTTTTTTTAAAAATTAAGACACTTTAAGACACCGGTAGTTCCTCCCAGGAAGCTTCCCTTAAAGAACAGCTTCTGCTGCAGGACACTGCATTCAGCATGAGAAAAATGGGGAAAAAGGGCTTGTTGCATCTTTCATCCCAGGGAACTTGTGGATTCCAGTTTTACTGTTCTCTAAAATAATAAACTTCCTTTTCTTAAAAGAAAGAAACAAGCAGATCCAAACATTCTTCATATTAAAAAACTGGGAAGGAACTGTGATCTTTTTGGTCCTTTGATATGGATTCCTTCTCTGCCCTCACTCCTCCAAAGACTTAAGTTCTCAGTTCACAGGTTCACAGCTGCTCTGGAAGCCCCAGCAACTGCAGCTTCGCATCAGAGATGTCTCCAGGAGGGGGCTGCTTGGAACTCTTGCAGAACCACTGCACCAGGACATTTTTTGGCCCGTAGGAAAACCACAGCTACATCTTCCTGCAAGCCTACCCCAGGTGGACTGCAAATACCTGAGCTAGAAGGTAACAGGAAGAATTCCAAGAGGAAAAATAGGTAGGGATTTTCTATATTCACTTTTGACTATTACCCTTCCAAAAAAACATTCTTCCCTCCTTAGATATGACTGGTCATGAAACCAATTATAGAGAAAACTGATGCTGTAGGTGCATTAATCTTGTAAACCATTCCCATATGGAAGAGTACATTCTTCAATCCTATTGTTTATAACAACTTTTAAGTATGTGCCTCCTCAGCTGGGGCCTTGGGGCCTGATGGTGATGGCAGCTACCCCCCACCCCCTTCATTAGGTTACAGATGGGAAATAAAATGAAATGCACATTATTACACAAATGTTATTGCAGTATAAAATCCTTTCAGGACAAGACTTATGTATGTCTGTATGCAAAAATAGGTGTGTGTGAGACAGAGAGATATGTGCTTATAAATTACACACACTGTGAAAAATACTCATGTATTATTATATTACAACTATATACATTCATTAGAAAGGAACTGACCGGCCCCTGTCGAGGAGCCAGTGCAGCAGCCACCACCAGTTCTTTGGCATCCAGGAAACGAATGCTATTTAGCATCAGAAGAAAAGGAAAATCTTCTCAGTATTCCCTTGCTTCTTGAAACTGCTTGTAGTAGTCCTCGTCTGAGGGGTTTTCCGTACACTTCTGCCCGTTGTTGGGAGGCCGCGCTTCGTTGTAGCGGCTCCAGTCCCCCTTGCATATGATCCAAGGCAGGATGTCCACTTTGTAGTGCAGCTCTGCTGAGAATTCGATGCTGATCAGGTTGGGTGTCCCTGCCCCTTTGCCCCTGGTGATCAGCTGCATGTTGTCGTCGTAGCAGCAGTGCTGTGCCGCCAGCGTGGTGCTCTCCAGGGACAGCATGGAGCGGATGCAGTACCGCGCCGTGGGCTTGTAGATCTCCAGCTTCTCCTTCGGACCACTCGCATCCTTCCAGCGGAAGTTCTTCCTCTTGAGCCGGTCAAAGATCTCAGCAGTGCTGTAGGCAACTTCTCTGGGGTAGGAGCAAGGGCAGCTGGGGAGGTCATTGACCACTTTGTGCATGTATTTCTTCAGGAACTCGCTCTTGCAGCTCATCCATCTCTCACAGCTATCAGTATCTGTTTCAGGGCAGGAAATGGAAACTTAAGATACATTAAGCAGCATCCCAGTTGGTGTGATCAGTGATAGCAGCTGAGTCAAGTGTAGCTGTTCAGCAGTGTTGCCCTGATTTTTAAAGTTTTTCTAAGCCTTCTGATGTTTATGTTCTTGTAATGAACTTTCTCACACACTTTATGTAAATAACTTATTGTTTTGCATTCTTTTATGGAAGGAGAGAAATTTAATAAACTGTTGGTTTGTCCAGCGCCATTGGAGAGGTGGCACTGTCACCCTCTAATCCACTGTCACTTTTAGAAATCTATAAGAAATTAAAAGTTCTCTTTTTACCATCAGAAAGCTGCATGTCTGTGTTGTGTTATTTCGTGTCCTATGGCAACACAGCACCAGTGCTCTGCTGCAGAAAGAAAGGGCAGTCACAGTTTGCTGCCCTGCCCACAGTGTACCACTGTGCTGTCCTGTCAGATAAAGAAATCACCTGTGACTGACTTCAGGGCTAGTCTGAGTTACAGGGCAGAACCAGGCCCTAGGAATCTGTGACACTTTTTCTACCTGGCAAATTCTAATTAAGCTACTGATATCCCCATGAGGCACAAGAGACACTACCATGGGCTGGTAAGCAGCAGAAAAAGGGAAATCACAGTGATTTGGTGCCAGTCTCCAGTTAGAACCCTTAGTCAGAACACACTCAACAGTAAAAATGGCAGTCAGATGATGAAGGATTAAGTTTCAGATGACGCTAGAGATTCCAAGATAGCAAGCAAGGCCTGTATTACTCTTTCTGAAGTACATTTTAGACCCTAATTCAGTCTTCCTTTAAAGAGCAAACACTTTTTTCTATTTGATATTCACTTTTCAAGCATCAATATCTCAAACACGGAGACTGACATCTTATCTGGCAAATGCAGCCAAAAGTGATCCAGGTTCTGAAAGGACATATGTGACAAAAGATCAGGGTGGCTGTACATCAGCAGGAGTTTATGGTGCCAGAGGCATGATGTATAGCCAGGCTTAAAGAGATTTGTAGACCAGTAGCAAATTTAATACCAGCACTTCATTATTTTGCAAGACTCTTGGGAGAATCCAGGTAAACATCTCCTGCCTAAAACATTATTTAAGGTGTCTATATCATCCTATGGGCTGTCAAAAACCACCTGCATATCTTGCTCCACACTTACTTGAAGAGGACTCTGCAGGAGAGAAACTAACTGGGACCTAAAACTCTTACAGAACACATTCTTGCAGAATATTTACTTAGTGATCTGTGTCCTGTTTTTCTATCTCCTTAAAGAGTCTCACCCTGGCTGTCATTAACTATTGTGCTCTGCTCTCCCACAGTAGGGAGGTGCTGGGTTACACTCTTTATTCAATTAATCCAGCATCCAGTGTAACATTGCAGATGTTGGACTGAGTTTGAGATAGTTCAGAATCAAGCCATGCCCTATAAATTTGCTTTGGCTACTACCACTGCAGCACACAGAAAAAGCAATGCATGCTCATAAAAGTCATTGTCTTTTTTTTTTCAATTTTTCTGATGTGACAGCTGTACTCTTTTACATGAAATGAAAATGCTTTTATAGGGTCTTCCATTCGAGGCTATTTAATCAAAATAATAAAGAGTGTTTGATTTTTCCCCCCATTCATTACTGTGGAGTCTTACAGCTCTTTTCTGAATTAGGACAACAAATAACCCTTTTATGATGAAACGAGCACAGAACTTAAGAGGAGAAAGATTCTTTGACCCAAGCAAATTTTCAGATCACAAACGTGAGCAAGATAACAAACGGCTGTTACTAAATGCTAAACTCAAGTGTCTCGATCCCACAGGACTAAGAAAATCCTAAGGAAGTCTCTTGTCTGTTACTGAAGGATTGACTAGGCTGCTTACCAACTTCAAACAGTTTGGTGGCATTGAAGTCTTCGCTCCCTGCCAGCAAGCTCACTTCTGTGGCAGCGGTCCGGAAGGTATCTTCGATCCCTAGGACAAACATGAGTTAGTGCTGCTGCTGCTTCCCCACTCAAACACAATGGAACCAGCCGCCTCCTCGCCTCCCCTTCCTCCCCAGCCTCTGCAAGGTGCTTTGTTTGGGCAGAAAACCATTCTGAAGCTGCTGCTGGACTGTTCTTTTAAAACCATAATGACCAAGGAACCTGTGACGTTTGTGACGGTGTTCACAGGGGTTTTCAGTTGGGGGAAGAGATGAGAATGTTGACTTCATGTTCAGAAGGTTTTATTTGTTATGATATATATTACATTAAAACTATACTAAAAAGAAAAGAAGGAAAAGTTTCATCTTAGAAGGCTAGCTAAGCTAAGAATAGAAAGGAATGAATAATAAAGGTTTGTGTCTCAGAGCCTAAGCTAACTGGGCTGTGATTGGCCATTAATTACAAACATCCAACATGGGCCAGTCACAGATGCACCTGTTGCATTCCACAGCAGCAGATAATCAATGTTTACAGTTTGTTCCTGAGGCCTTTCAGCTTCTCAGCAGGAAAAAATCCTAATGAAAGGATTTTCATGAAAAAATGTCTGTGACAGGTGTTAATAAGGTAAAACAGAGTGACAGGGCTGAAGTCAGGTGAGGAAGCTCATCCCTGCATGTGGGCAATCATTTCTCAAGGCAGAATGATGCTGTTCCAAGAAGACTGATGCTTGTTGGTCTCTCCCAGTGCCAGGCGGTTAAAAGGTGTGAGTAGGCAAGAGATAACCAACCTCTTCAAAAAATTCCATCCCCATCACTTACAGCTGCCAAATAAAATATCAGGATCTCAACATATCAGGATTTACCAGCAGCCTCCAGTTAATTGTTTGCTACCAGCTGAGAGACACAGACATTGCCAGAAAAATGATCTTGCCAAAACAAACATCCTTTTATTGCTGCTTTAGTTCAGCCTACTGAGGTGCCCAGCATTTCTGTGCCATGTAGGCTTAATACAAGTAGGTTTTAAGGTTTTTTTTTTCCCTTTCTTCCCTATTGAATTAAAGGCCTCTAAAGAGAACTGAAAGATCTTTAATATGTGATAACTACATGGTTAATAATGAAGTCTATTCACCACCCACCTTCTTGCCAATGAACTTTCTCCTGATCTCCTGAACTGGGGCATAATAGTGGCTTGCAAAGCTTCAAAACAGCCTCAGGCCAATTTTCAACAAAATTATCATAGAGTTTTGCCGTAACTCCAGCACTGGATGTAGAATAATAGATACCCAAGAACCCATTACAAGGCAGTAATTCACTGCTGGAATTATAAACAGCAGAAGCTGAGCTTTGACCTTGTAATTTTGAAAATGTCAGCACAGCATCAAAGAGTGAATATATTTTGCTTGCTGATCATTGGAGGTCTGTTGTATGACATAATATATTCTTTCAAGTTTGCCACTTTTTGGTGCTAGTTGGTAATAAATACTAGAGAATACAACTGGGGGTTACTTGCTTTCTTCTGGAATTACTCCTTATTATTGAGGTTTTAGGATGCATGAGAGCATGCAGAAACATTTTTCCCTGAACTGCCTTGCAGTTTTTGCTTTGCAATGGAGACATGGATCTATCTGCTAGTCAGAAACTTCTCTCCAACTCTCTCACCAAGTCTTCTAAGTCTCCTCTCCAGCACTGCTGACATTTTATTTCCCATTAAAAAAAGCCTGACCTCCAGCTTAAAAATTTCTGCCTTTCTGAGTCATTAAGTAAACTGAGAGTAATGCATGCCACCATGACTTGTGTTTTCACTTCTCTCTGATCTTGGGAAGTAATGAACTTGCACCTATCCCCTGCATTGTGGCAGCTACTGCATGACAAATTGGTCTAAATTTAAACACACAGCAACATTTAAAAACCAGTTTTCCATAGCAGTTTCAAATTTTCATGATGTAGGCTTGAATGCTCAGCCCTGATTTTGCCAAAGTGAAGATGGTAAGTGCGTGATTGGTGAGGACACTTCAAAATGTCAAATCCTGTGAATGGGTAGGAGCTAAGGCAAGGCTCCTTGGCCATATTTTCTGAATATATTCAAGCCAAAACTATACATCTCTTCATCCCTGTTCACAATGCAAGCAATGCCATCCCCTTCACAGCAAAACAGGAGCTCACTGAAGTAACAGCACAGCCAGTTGGAAATCCTAAAACAGCTCCAAATTTGTTTCAAGGGAGTAGATCACACCCTTTAGAATATAAAACACCCGTGCACAAAAATGACTGCCGTGACCTAGAGAAAGCCTATACATGTCTTTTAAGTCCCAGGGGATGGAGGACTGCATCTAGCAGTGCATCATTACTACGAATAAACGGCGTTGAAAATCTCTTTATCCCGCCAGCACCCTTACCTTGCCAAGGAGCACACAGCCCCCAGGCTCAGTGTGCAGAGAGCCCTCTCCACCCCTTTCCACCCATCCCTGCTCCCCCTGGCAGCAGTTCCAGGGGCGGTTCCCACCTGGGCAGCTGGGCCTGTCGCAGGTGCGGGACTCGGTGGCGGTGCAGGCGTAGCCGCAGGAGCGGGTGCGCTTCTGGCTGCCGCTGCTGCAGGTGACGCTGCACGGGGACCAGGGGCTCCAGTCACCCTCACCGTCCATGTAATCTGCTCACAGGACAAATGAGAGGGAGGAAATGAGGAAACAAAACTCCTGCTGCCCAAAAACTACTGTGTGGTGGTTTTTATTAAGCAGGCAAAGCACGAATGGAATCCAGATGTCTCTACCTGGAGCCGGGGCCGAGTGCCAGGCGCGAGGCTGCTGCTTAAATGGTTTTCACACTTGGTGCTCCTCAGGGAAATGCACGCAACAGTATTTGAAAAAATATTTCCTTTCTCTTTTGACCTTTTGGCCGCTGAGGATCCTCAGCTGCACAGCTCGGTCATGAACTAACAGCACACATCTATTCACGTCATTTCCCTGCATACAGGAATGTGTTTGTGGACCACAGACTCATCAGGCAAAGAATAAATTGAGTTTTCTTTTTCGTCTTTTCAAAGCATACAACAGTACTCAGTTTTTGGGCAAGATGCCTGTTATGGGAAACTCAGTGTCCTGAGTGAAAATCACAATTTTGTTTTTCAGTCCCTTGAACGGGAAACAGAATATTGAATATTTCAGGAATATTGCTATGAGAGCAGGGAAGTGCATGCTTTTCTTGCACCAATAACAACATGCAATATTTAGTGTTTCATGTGAATTATTAAATAACATCAAATCTGACTATTTACTAGAAGGAACCTTATGAAAAAGAAACATGATTTTGTTTTCTTCTGGCAGACTGCCAAAGGCACTGAACACCAAAACAAAAAGCTGATGCGCTGTGAGTACCTAAACCCTTCAGAACCAGCTTCCTTTGTGTGCTGTGTAAACTATTGCACATCCCACCATGTGAAGGCCACCAAACAAAGCCCATGAACCTGTCCCAGCTTTCTTGCCTCCCCACCGGCCTCCCTAGCTGAGGGAACATTTGGCTTAATGGTTTTCCCTGCAATCTACAGGAGATATTTTAGTGTGATCACAACTTGCAGCTGCAGCTCCTTTGGGTTACACCGCCACTGACAGCAAAGCAAAACCTGGTTCAGTGGCTCAGAGGCAGCCCTGCTCTATAGCTCTAGGGCAGAGTACCTGAGCTAGAGCAGAGCCAGGGAGGATCCCTGCCTTGCCTGGCCTCTGTGCTACACACTTTCCCCCAGGGCCATGCTGTCTGTGGGCTTCCTGAGCTGGTTAGCAGAACACGTAACTTGATTTGTTCCATATGCAGCGACTGACAACAGCTCTGTGGGGTGCTATTAAACATTTATTGCCAGGAGTATGGGGAGGTTATAGATCTCACTCAGAGCAAGCTGCCTAGATGTGAGTTCCTCGTGGCAAGGACCTTATGTGTTCCTCCTCCTTTTCTGACAGGGCTGATGATGGGGAAGCCACCACACTGGAATCAGGTGTCTGTGGTGGGATGTGGGTGTGAACACGGCTAATGTCAGTGTGTAAGACCTGTAGTTCTGGGATTGGCCAGCTGGCAGGCACCACAACAGCCCAAAAAAGGCATCAGATGTCTCAGGAAAATGTGATCTACCCACTATGCCTGGCCCTGCTCTCCTTCCCAGCTCCTTTCCAACTCTTTTATCTCCATACAGCTGGTGAGGAGGAAGGGCAGGTGATCAGGCACAATGCCTGTCAAACAGGAGGCCAAGGAAGGGCAGGGAAAGCCCTTGGCAGTGGCAGGAAGGGAGAGAGACACCCACAGGAAAGGTATGAACATGTCAGTGGGTGGAACATCTACACCCTTCATGGGCAGGATCTGCTGCTGCATCCTCCTGGACAGCCTTTCAGGTTAGACAAGAGGCCAGGAGCTGTTTCCAGCTAGCTGGATGCTCTGGTGTGCAGCAGGGAGCTCTAGGATAATTTTTAGATCTATCTACCTCGTGTTTACAGTGCACTATGAAGCACATTACTGAATATACCATGTTAGATTTTCAGCTGCAGCTCAACCTGTTCTTCCCATTTTCCTATTTTTAATTCTTACTACGATTTTTCTATCACAATTAACTTATATGAATAACTACCTAAGATATGAATGCTTTGCAATAAACCCTGCCCACAAATAAATATAGGGGAAAAAAGAAGGGATAGATTTAATCTTCTGGCCGAAAAATTTAATACATATGTATGTGTTTAAACACACTTTTATTCCACAGTTTTTATTCCATAAAAAACTCTCTCTTGATTTTTAAGATTCTAGTACTTCAAGTCAGTCAATGGAAGAATAAGTTTGTTTTACTTTGTTTTACTGCACTCTGCAACATCTGGGGAATAACAACAGAAATGCCAGGGTAAAAGTAGCATGACACTTTGTTCTGACTAAAAGTAATCTGTATTCACACACAAGTTCAAGGGGCTTTTCCTGTGAGCACAGTTTAGCTCACCTCCCCTGGGTCATTCCCGTGTGGATAGTCACAGCCTGTCAGGGCAGTGAAGAGCTGTAGCTCTTCTCTGTTTCTAGTTTCTGCAACTATTTCGTACAACAAGCTGAAAACAATTGTTTTCCCCATGACACATCTGGAAGAATATTACACACACAAATACACAATGTTCCTGCTGCACACGCCACTCCCCACACATGCACCAACATAACTCATCTTATTTGTGTATCCACCAAACGCTACCACGTTTCAGATCTTGCTTATTTATCCAATAGTTATATTCTGGTCCCCAAACCACCGCACGATTCTAAATTTGTACTTACCCTTACTCTAAAAATAAATATGAAACCTTGTTTCCTCCACTTTTTTAAAAAAAGCACACGTTGGACTAAAAAAGGCCCTCTTCTGGGATAACTGGTATGATTTTCAAGATTATAGACTTACTAGTGGAATGCAGCTACCACAGCACAGCTTGTCCATTTGCACAGATTTGTATTTGAAAGCTGATGAACAAAAGCCACATGTTGAAAAACTCTATTTTGCTTGAATCTCAGCCATGCCCCACCATTCTCGTTCCCCCCCACGCTTGTTTTTGACAATCCCAGGATGCCCGCGGGAGGCCTGGAACGCAAACCCACCGTACTCTGGCTGCTCCTTGGACTGGAACGCCCGGTGACTGGGTGCATGGCTCTCCCACCCGCCCAGGGGGTTCAGGAAGTTGCTGTCCTCGGTGGTGCTGTCGTATTTGTAGTCCTGGTCACCGCTGCTCATGCGAGTCAGCGTGGAGGACCTGTGCCACCAGCTCCTCCAGTCGGGCGACGGGGCTGGCCAGCTGGGCCTGCTGCCCTCCTTCTGCAGCTCCTTGTCTGGCTCTGGGTCAGGGCTGTCCACCACCTCAATGGTAACCTGTGGGATTCAGAGCAGAGCAGCCTGTCAGTGCCTCCTCTTTGGCAGGGGGAAAACTTTCCACACAGCAAAGACAACGTGTGGTGTTGGTGAGGGTCCCCAGGATGAGGGAAGAGATGAATCTGACTCCATGTTCTCAGAAGGCTGATATATTATATTATATTATATTATATTATATTATATTGTATTGTATCGTATCGTATCGTATCGTATCGTATCGTATCGTATTGTGTCGTATCGTATCGTATCGTATTACATTACGTTATATTATATTATATTATACTATATCATATCATATCATATTAAGAATACTATACTAAAACTATTCTAAATAAATAAAGAAAGGATGCAGACAGAAGCTTTAACAAGAATGAATAACAAAAACTCGTGACTCCTCAGAGTCCGACACAGCTGGATCGTGACTGGCCATTAAGTTAAAACAATTCACAAGAAACCAATCAAACATGCACCTGTTGGTAAACAGTGTCTAAGCCATATTCCAATGCAGCAAACAGAGGGAGAAGCTGAGGCTTCTCAGCTTCCCAGGAGAAAATCCTGGGCAAAGAGGAATTTTCAGAAAATATCACGGTGACAGACAAGGTGCTGCCTGGCAAGGGGGCTGTGCAATACCATGGGTTTGGCATGTTGTAATCCATATGTGGATTACTGAGCCCAGAGACATGCAGAGGCTGAGAGATTCCTTCTGCTACCTCTGCTGAATCAGACCTCGGAACCAAGGCTAGGAAAAATCCTGCACAAAATAATAACACACGCCATGCCTAAACCCTCGCAGCAGAATTCTCTGCCCTATGGGGAAAATGTGTTCAGAGCCTAACATATATGACCAGGAAAAAGAAAACCAAAGCTGTGCTCTATGCTGAGGCTGAATATGAGGCAAGCACGGAGCACCCCAGTGTGCAGAGCCTGTTCCAAGGACTTGGGCTGACTCAGGATAAGCAAGGCCATGTGTGAGAAGGTCAAGATGCAGAGCCCAGGTATTGCTGGGCTTGCATCTGTCTCGCCCCTCTGGCAGCAGCCCAGCTGTTCCTGCTGCATGAAACCACACTATGTGGCAGTGATGGGAGCCAGCAGCTCCTCTGACCATTGCTGAGTGAGCCACTTGCTGCGAAGTCCTTTAAAGTTGGTCCTTTTGTCGTGCTGGGAGAACATAATGACCTGTTATGGTCAACCTGTTTATGGTTTCTAGCAGAAGCCCAGAACCAAAATTCAGAGTTTGCTGCCCAGTTCCCTCACAGACATCATAAATGTCAATATCATTCTGCATACGAGCAACCTCTGATTATTGTTTTCTGTGCAGAACAATGTGTAATTGTAAAACTCTTGGATAAATACTGTGTGTGCATATAGGTGGCCATTTAGGTAGAAGCAGAGACTCTCCACCAGAAACCCTGGCTCTGTGAGTCATGCAAGCATTGCCTGGCCACAGATAGATCATAAAATGCTCTGATGTTTCAGGGTAATGTGGTTCAGTGATTACACTGGGCTGGCTAAACAACCAGAAGTGACTGTCAGATCTATCTATAATGTTTAATAGGTACAGAGGCATTTTCAGCCTTTCAAGATGGTACACAATGGAAATCAGGTTGTATAAAACAGAAACAATGCATTGCTGTGCTAAAAGTAATTTACACAGCTCTGTGGATGTGCATTGTACATAAAAGATTAGTTTTATACAATTGTTATTAATAAAATCACAAGACACACACAAGAAAAAGAAAGAAAAGGTCCCAGCTACCTGTGATCCACAGGCTGTGACACAGGAAGCAAAGCAGAACTGTTGTATCTTCAGAGCTGCAAACACAAACAATGCCCACACATCCCTTCTTTGGAGCCAAGAGATTTTGGATCTATTATTTCATGCTTTGCATTTTACCATAGACCAGGCCATTGAAATGAAAAAACTTGGAGGCTACTAGGAAGCTCCACTGGGAAAAGAGCAAGAGCAAAGGAAAGTGCAGCTGCCAGCCTAATGGCTCCTTTACACAAAGGGTATTTCACTCCCAGCCTAAATATGGAATTGGAATGGGTACTTCATTAAACCTCAGTTTCTACAGACCAAGAATGAAAATGGATTTCATAAGCTTGAAAACATCAGAGTCAGTTCAGGGATTCAAAATTGTTACCTCTATCCGAGCAAAACAGAGTTTTCACAATAAATGAAAGGAAATGGCCTTACTGAGCAGCCGACACTGCCAGTGGTGGGGCTTCAGTACTCCCCACCTGGAAATCAGTACAATTCTAGTACTTCAGCAGCAAGTATTTTTAGGACCACACTAAGTCTCTGAGCAATGACTCAGCAAAGTGGAAAAAACAAACCCTTTGATTCAAAAAACAGATAATTGCTCCATATGCTTTGATAATCTGTAGCTGTATGAAAGTCAATCAGCGTGAACTGGCATTATTTCAGCCAAGGATGATTTGAAGCACCACAAGAACTTGATTTTAAATAATGATTGATGATGCAAGTCAGTTTAAGGAAAAGAAGGGACAGAGAAACATCTGGTGAGCTTGGTGAGGAAAGGCAGGTGGAACACACACACTTCCAGTGTCACCAGACCCCTCCAGCAGTGCTGCCACTAACTTACTTCCAAGACTGGAATATCTGTGCAATCAGCTACTTCAGTTGTTTTTATCTCTGAGGAACGTTATTAGAAAGGCCTCTAAAATGAGTTTCCTGACACAGAGCCAATTTAAAAACCAAAAACACCAAAAGCAAAATCCAGTGTGGTGGTCTGATCCATATCTATGTTCCCCTCTGCACTCCTTTAAGATTTGATTACCAAGGTGTTTATTGTGGAATAAAAATCATACAGTGAAAGAAATTCTGTAAAGAATCCTGGGATTGTCTGAACTGCCACTCTTGGAAATCAGAAGCCAACTTCAATTGCCTTTGGTGTTTTCAGGGACTTGGCTTAATGTACCTTCCAGAGGCATAATCCTAGTAATCCTTCCTCCACTCTATGACCCAGAAGTTAGGGCAGAATTGTGAGAAGAATTGTGTGCTGTTTCAGTGAGCAATTGCTTCCTTATCCCAGTCTAAAATTTTGAAAAATGAGCTTTCACTGTGTTCTTCCCAGTGCTCACAGATAGAGTTACAGTGTTAGCCCATGACTGCACTTACACATATGCTTGTGCACATACATGGCACTGAAATATGTAACTTGTGTGATCAGTTTCTATATTGGGGGCTGTTTATAAAAAGGAATAAAGGAATCAGGAATTAGAGAATAAAGATCAAGAACTAGAGTAATATAAACCAGGCGTTTAGAGAAGCTCTGGAAAAGCTTCCATACTGTGTAAGTATTCCAACAAAAACATGTTCTCTTAAAAATTAAAAAACAGATCTGGTTTAGCAGTTCTATCTTGGAGTCCGTTTTAGAGGCTGATTTCTTCTTCCAGTGATTATCAAAACTGTAAAGATTTTTTTCAAGCTTCCCAAAATGTCTGTGGTAACATAGTCCTTGTATAAATCCACAGTCATCCCCGGAAGTATTCAAACCTAAAATAAAGCCACTTCTTTTATGGTTGCATGAGCTAGGAATAAGGACATTCATCTGAAAACTGTTAAAAACAATTGGCGTAGGCACATTAAAACAACAGATTTGCAGGCAATTTCTAATGAAACAAGTGTATCATGCACAGATGTGTCCAGACACCAACATCCAATTTTCTCCTGGCCAAAAATATACAGAAGATAAATATTATCACAGCCTGCTAGAGTGCACAAAAAGTTCTGTGTTCTTTGTCCTGTTTACTGAGACAATGTTTCTGAATTCACTTTGCTGGTGTAAACATTGCCCTAAGTGACCAGAAGATTATGTTTCAGGAAGAAGTATGTTTGTGATGTTGTGCAAGCAGCAGATCCTACAACCTTTCTATCCTGTTTCTTTTCAAGCAATCGATGCAAATTTTCAATAGAGAACTTGCCATTCTGGGTAAGACAGCAATGAGGTAAATATATCAGGAGAACAGGAACAAGATCAGTATGAGATTGAAATGGTACATCTGGCTTTATATAATATAATTTTAATTAAAATGCTATCAGCAGTGGCAATAATTTAGCTCTGGTTGTGTCATGTCACTTAGAACAGTTTTGTGGACTTGAAAAGTGAAGGTTGCTGAAGCTTTGTTGGGAGCAAAGACGACAATGTGACTTGAGACCTGAAACTTCTATTTGATGTTGTCAATCCAATTTGCAATCTCTGATGAACCCCAGAAATAAGAATGTGCTCCATCCCTGAATTCTGCATTCTGCAGTGAGTTCTTGTTACAGCATGGCACAAGGAAACCAGCACAGCTCTGGTGTTGGCAGGGGTTTAACCTTGGCACCCTGGACTTACTGCCCACACAAGGCTCTGCAGCTGGAACAACCAGCTCCTGCAAGGCTCCACTGTGCTTCCAGTGCTGCACCTGGCAGCAAATGCTTTATTATTACCTCAAGGCATTAAACCTTACAGGCATTACAAGAAACAAGCACTACTGGAGCCCTTTGGCTCTTCCTGTGCTAAATTGGAGATGAGACTGGTAGGACTGGTCACTGTTGAATCTTTTATGACAAAACCAAAAGGGTGCTGCTTTCCAATGCACTGAAACCAGCAGCTTCAAAGGATAAATATAAATGATAGCTAAAAAGTTCATCTAATAAAATACATGTAAAGTGACATTGTGATGCAGGTGGAGGTGAGGGAAATGGCCATGGGTTAACTTGGAGAGGAGCTGAGGCCTGCAGCTCTTTTTTCAAAGCAGATCACACAGCCTTGTTTCTCTGTAGTTGTGTATGTTTGCATAGATGTGTTTCTAAGAGAAGGCAGTAACCCAGTAGGTATCAAAGAGAGAAAATAGGTAACAAGTAGATAACACAGCAAACAGAGCAGCACAGGAGTGGTGTGGCTGGTGAATATGGCCACAGGCCTCACGGCAAATGGCAAAGACCAAGCAGGCATTAACTTCTTCTGCTGTAAAACCACTCCTGTCAATTAATATGGTTATCAACATGGTTTGAAACAGGAATCCTACCTGTTTCTGTGCAGTTTTCACCTAAAGCACATAACCTCATCAAAATGTTTAACACATCCATTACAACTGGAGCTCACCCAGCTGGGTTTCAGCTCTATTGGTCATGAGGATTGAGCAAGACCTAAGTTCAGTGAGGAACATTAATATCAACAAAATGCCCTTATTGCCCAAAGAGGCTGTGAACTCCCCATCCCTGCAGCTGTGACAAGGCTGGATAGGGCTCTGAACAATCTGATCTAGTGGAAGGTGTCCCTGCCCATGGCAGGGGGAATTAAACTAGATGATCTTGAAGGTCCTACCCAACCCACACTTCATAGTTCTGTGAGTTTTCCCTTTTCTGCTCATTTGCCATGATGTCAAGCACTGGTGGGGAAGCAGCAAAGCAGTGCCACAACAGAGGAGAACACTCCCTGATCCTGTTTCAGCACACAAACCTGGAAAACTACTAATAAAAAGAAAAGGTGAGGGACAAGAGCAAGAGTTCAACTGCAGGTTGAAACATCTGGCTCCAAACAGAGGGTTGGCTGCTGAGAGGTTGTAGAGGCTGTTTGGAACAGACAAGAAAAACCCATCAGAAATGGAAAACAGACAGGTTCCTGTACACCTCCCATGTGACTTCATTCTGCTGCTCAGGGGAAAGAACAATTCTGACTTTGAGTAACCTGACCAATTACAGGGTCTGCATAGGCATCCCTTGGCTGGTCTGTCAGACAAGTGCAAACCTAGACAGCAGGGATTTTCCATTTGTGAAAGGAACTAAAAAATAGTGTAATCAGTTTTTGTAATCACCTTCTCACCCTAGAAGTCTTCCATGCATTGACAGAATCGTTAAAATTACAGAAAAGAAAACAAAACACCCCAAACCAAGCAGCCAGTCTGTGCCCACTGTGGTTACTCTCAACAACCAGTGTGGAAGCACAGCTGAAGTATAAAATGCCAGTTTAAATGATGGGAGATTTTACAAGGCTACAACACCACAGGAAGGCCAGTAAGGGTTGTCCTGGTCATGTATGCAAAGAGTCACTTGGATTACTGCAGCTCCGCCTGTTGCTTCTGAGGGTTTTCTAGAGACAGTCTGCTGTACTAACATTATCATCTAATAAATATGGCAGTACCTGGGGTAATCTGAATTCCTCTGATGGTGTTCTGATACTCACTTTTAGTTCATCACTAAAAGAGCACATATCAGGTCATGATACAGCAAGCAACATCTCACAGGAACCAGAGAAGAAATGGCCCTGAAGAGAACTCACTGGAGTATTTTTTCCACCTGCTTTTTTGGAAGAATTTTATGCGACTTTCTTGGATTTCTAATTACCAGATATAATTTCCATTAAAAAATGTTATTTTTGGTTTATGCAGTAGAAGGAAAAAGAGGTTTTGAGTCTTTGAGAAGAAAATGTGGCCATTGTGCTATCTTAAAACAGAGGCTGTTTTCTCCTATCCAGCCTCTCAGTCCTAGGAGGACTCTTTAATCAACACTCCCAGAATTGTAACTTACAGATCTGGGAGCCATTGTGCAAAAAGAAAAATAAGCATCAATTCTGTTTTCACCTGCCAAACAGCTGATGAGAAATTTGAAAGTCAACAAGTGTCTCTATTTCTGTTCAGGTCAGTATAGTACTGTTTAACAAGTAAGAATTCACTATAATCCTGTTTTTTCGTAAAAGAGTAGGCCAACCTTTAGGCAAAAAAATAAACTTTCTCTGACTCTGTAAGGAATTAATGGGAGTTTTATGTCCATGAGGCTTGACCAGCTGTGAGACTGTCAAACAAGAACTTAAAGAAGCTTTGTGTAATCACTGTTTACTCACCTAAATAAGCAGAGTAAATTCAGAGTAAATAAAATGCAGAACTTAGGGTGCCTCTTTCTGAAAGGGCTCAACCTTGTGCATAAGGGATCTGGGATCAGTGTTGCCCCTTTCCAGTTTACAGGACCAGTCTTCCCAGTTCTCAGAGTCCAGCAAAACTGCTGACAGAGTTGCTGACATATTTCCAAGATTGGATGGTGGAAAAAGAGGTCTTAGCAGCAGCAGCAGTTACCATGAAAACAAGCCAGGGAACTGTTTCCGTCTCTTTTATCCCTGTGTCTGAACTTTGTATGTTGTCACCACTCAGGAAAGGTTTTTAATTCCTCCTGTCCTCGTCTGCAGTTTACACACTGTTCAAATAGTGATGTTGCATCATTTGCCTCACGCCACAATCTGGGGTCCCTTCAGCTTCCAATCTTCCCTTCTGTCTTAGGTCACAAGATGTGACTGGGGGTGTGTATTCTACTGCCATCTGTTAGGGGTGGGGCAGTTATCTTCTGTTCATTGGGCAGGTTTCTTTATCTCTCCCACAATCAATCCTCCCACCTGCTGTTAATGGGCCACTGAGGGTCACTGCATGGCTGATAAAATCCCATCATCCCATTGGGAGATGCTCCACCCAGAGGGAGGAGCCAAGCATTCCTACCTGGATATAATCTGAGGTTTGGGACACCACACCAGCCTTTTCCACTGGATTCCCAGAGGAGCAGCCCTTTCCCACTGGATTCCCAGAGGAAGACCAGGCCCATCTACACCTCCACTGGTCCTTCAGAGGAAAACTCCACCCTTCTCCAGGATCCCTGCTCCAACAGAACCACACCTGGAACATCAGGAGGGCTGCAGCCACCATTGAACAGGACTGCTGCCACCACCCTGACCCACAGGCTGTCAGGTTGTATTCTGACTTTGTCAGTGTTGATATTTTTTGTATTATTGTACTTGTAGTTTAATTTTCCTAGTAAACGATTGTTATTCCTATTCCCATATCTTTGCCTGAGAGCCTGTTAATTTCAAAATGATAATAACTTGGAGAAAAGGGATTTACATTTTCCATTTCAAGGGAGGCTCCTGCCTTCATTAGCAGACTTCTGACTTTTCAAGCCAAGATACTTTCCTAAAGCTTTCTGGAGTTGTTCTCCTAGCACAAGAGATGTGTTCCATCACCACATGTTGAACATGTTTACTCCCTCGGCCTGTCAAGTATTAGACCTGCCCTTGACCCCAAATCTGTGAGATTTCTTAATGGCCCAGCTCATCTACGGTGAATGCAAGGGAGTGATGCTGTGGAGGAAGCTTCTCTTCACCCAGTCATGGGTAAGAATCATGCACTGGTTTGGGTTGGAAGAGGTATTAAGGATCACCTCATTCCACCCCCCTGCCATGGTCAGGGACACCTTCCACCAGACCAGGTTGTTCAGAGCCCCATCCAGCCTGGCCCTGAACACTTTCAGAGATGGGGCAGCCACAGCTTCTCTCAGCCAGGGCCCCACCACCCTGAGAGTAAAGAATTTCCTCCTGAAACTACTTGCTAAAACTACTAAACTTATCATCTGCCAGTTTAAAGCCATTCTCTCCTGTCCTATCACTCCATGCCCTTGTGAAAAGTCCCTCTCCAGCCTTCTTGGAGGCCCTTTAGCACTGGAAGGTGCTCTAAGGTCTCCCCTGAGCCTTCTTTTCTCCAGGCTGAACATCTCTTTCAGCCTGTCTCCAGAGCAGAGGTGCTCCAGCCCTCTGGAGCATGCTGGCCTCTCACCAGCAGATCTATTACATCTTTATATACATACTTCTTAGACATATCAAAAGGATGGTAATTTTGTGGGCTGGGGCAGTATAAGAAGCCAGGGATTAATTTAACCAGAAAACCAGATCTATTAGGGCATTGTTTTTATAAGCACATATTAGGCAGAAGAACATTTGAATTTATTGTTTTGGTTAAAAAAGACTGCTTATTAATGCCAATTTTGCTTTAAGGCTCTGAATTAAAAACAAATCACTCATTTTTTCCTCTTTCCGATCCTTGAAGTTTCAAGATGCAAGTGGCTTGTAAGAGGCCGTTCCAAACCCAAGAACTGTTTGAGGAATAACATATAACAAAGTTTTTTGCAGACAACTTTTTTATACTACAAGCAGCTGCTACGGAAATTAACTCTAAGTCTCACTTCCATACAGAAGAATGCATTTTGAGCTGAAACTGAAATACTTGTTCTCTGTTAGCCTTTGGGGACAGTTGCATTTTATAATAGTATACAAAATGCAAATCTGTTCACAAATTTTACAACAGTAAATTGAAGGCAGAAATTAAAACACCCATTTATTTTCAGTGAAGGCAATATGCTCCAAAATGGCAACCACAAAGATGGGTTTATTATCACAAGCAGGTCTACATTGATCTCCACACTTATGCAATCAACAGTATCCAAGAAGAAATTCAGAAAAAAATTGCAATATGTGCATTAACTTAGAGAGAAAAAGTATGTATTATATATATTTTATATATAATAATGTATTACATTATATTGGACTATATAGATTCTCTGTTTGTAGAGATGGATTGTTCTGGCTGTGCATCATGGAAGCCAGGCTCAAAGTCATCTTGGCTCAGTAAAATAACATTGTGTAAGTCATAAAATAGTCAGATGTTAACATAAATTTGTACCTGAATGTTTGGGTTCTGCCCATTGATATCTGCTTTGGACAGGTCAGGGAAGTTTGGGAGGTCCAGGAGAAAAGACCTGGGTCCATCTCTCTGCAAGGCCGTATGCCCGCTCTCCTGCCGGAACTGCCCCTTGGGAAAGGGCCGGTGGGCAGCCTGGAGATTGGGGTATTCTCCTCTCTCCTCGGGGTTCAGGGTGAAACTGTCTTCAGGAGAATGGTCCTCTGCACTCAGTGTGCTCTGGGGAAGAAAAGCAAGGCCCAATAATGACAACTGAGTGTGTGCAGTCCTGCCAGAGCCCCCATCCCTCCAGGGGCTGCAGCCTTACAGCACCCAGACTCACAGCTCACTACTGAAACACAGATCTGTAACCAGCTGACACAAGATAAAACTGAGTCACACTTGGGGACTTTAGTTCTTCCAGGCTCCTGAACCATTCCAGCCTTGTGATGAGCACCTACACGTGGACACAAGCATCAGACTTAAACCTAGAAACACGAGGCTCTGAAGTAACCCCTGGGAAACCAAATTGTACCACATTAAACATGTCCCTAAAAATGCTGAAAGGCATCCATTTTAAATCATTTGAGTTTGCTTTGTTCCAAAGCTAAGCAAAAACACTGACTGCTAAGGCCATGTTGAAATTTATGGTATTAAAAGATCCTACCGCTGAGCTGGCAACCTCCCCTTCTCTCCCCTCAGTCTGCAACAACTCCCATCTCGTCTCTGTGTTCCTCACCCAATTCCTCTGGTCTTGAACATCTGAACCTTCCTTCCTCTGGGATCTCATTTTCATGTTTGCCTAATGGTGGGATTGAATTTCACCAAGCTGTGGGTCAGCGGTTAATGCCTTTGTTATTGTTGAGCGTACTTCTGGGTTTTGTAGTACATTGCAGCAGGCTGCCTCTGAACCAGTAGCACTGCTGCCACTGCCTTTGACCTCACCAAGGAGACACATTTAGTATCAAAACACTGGCTCCCTGGGTTAGGACTGGCCTGGGGGACTTGGGGGAAAAAACAGCACAGAAGTCCAATCTTCTTATGGCTACAAAAAAAAAAAAAAGAAAAAGAAAAAAAAAAATAATGGGGTAGATTCCGCACAGGTTTTGGGTTTGACTCAGCTGAAAAAATTTTAGCTTGAGGTCTTAGTATGACTGCCTGGGGAGTTTTTATTTTCAGTTCATAAAGAGACAGCAAGCATGGAGAGGGTAAATGTTAAAGACCTATCTTTTAAAACAAGCACAATTAAAGTGGAATGGCCACATGTGGTTCTGGCTCTACTGAAGCATATTTTTGCCAGCGTTTCTGGTTAAATGCCATCTCCATCCAGCTCCCCTGGTTCAAATTAAGCCCCAGCATACCTTTAGCTGAGCTCTCAGATAGATAACAGCTCCAATGCTTTTTCTTTTATTTTGTGATTATTTGCTTAGAAGGTTCTAAATTGACCTTTAAAGGGATGTTAGAATAAAACCTGTGCACATTACAGAAAAATGTTCACTGAGTTAAACTAAGCTTGAAGAATTAATCTTGGACTAAGTGAAATTGTCTCAAGTAAAAATGAAGGTAGTTCTCCTCTACCCTCCTCACTGCACGCTATTTGTAAAGAGCAAAAGCAATTTATCAGAATTAATATTGTTGTTGTATTGTCATTCCCAGAATAGTTACACTCTGAAAGTGCCAAGAGGGTAATTTTATACATTTATCTACAGCACAGATGTAGATAAATTCTAATCTGTGAGATGTAGATAAATTCTGAATTTAGTGTATGTGTGCGGTGCTAAAAATGTGTGTGCTCCTGACAGTCTGCTCTGCTTGAAGGCTAAATCAGGCTCTACTCTTTGCTGGAGACCAGGAAGGACTTTCAGATGCCTTTGGTGGCCCACCCATTGTTCAATACAAAGTAGAAAGCAGATCACACAGCAGGAAGCTCTAGGAAATTAAACTGATGGCCACTTAGCTAACTTTAGGTTCCTCACTCATATGCGGCTGCTTTAACTTAACACTTTTCAGATAGAATTTAACATGCTTGGTGCATGAGGATTAAATGGCTTTTCAGTTATGTCTGACTAACAACAGGGCATAATAGTGCTGTGATTAAATTGCTTCAGTTAGGAGGAACAGGAAAAATGTGGTCCTCAACTATTTTTAGTGGGGTATCATGCCCATAATCTTACCTTTATTAAAAATAAAGTAAGATTTTATTAAAAACGAATAAAATTCTCACATACAATTCCATCCTTTCCCTATCTGCCTGCTCCTTCAGGAGCATCCTGCTTCTCTCCACATTAACATACCATGCAGCTAGAGCTGGCCAAGGCCTTTGGAGACCCAGATTTAAGTCTCTGGCCAGACTTGGTGTGTGATCCTGACAGGTCACGCTCTGCTGGTGCCTCAGTGGGGATAACAGCACTTCCCCTCCTCACTGTGATGTTTGAGGGGAGCTCAGCAACTACAATAATAAGGGCCATATAAAAAGTTTTTAATAGTGTCAAGCAGATGGAATATCACATGGAGTTGGTTAGGAAATTGTCATGGTGAAGTAATGACATCAGGCTGATCGGGCCCACTACCAAGCTGCTTGGGGCAGGGGATGTCCTTAATTACAGACTGAGCAAGAAGGGCTGCTCCACGCTGGGAAGGAAAACAGGGGGGACAAGATAACTGCTCCATCCCAGAGGCTGCTGCAGGCAAGGGAGCAGGATGGACCCCTCTGCTTGCCCAGGGTGGACCCAGAGACCCCAGTGACACATCAGGAACACATTTCTGATGGCAGTGACTGCTGAGCCCCAGGGTGGGACATGGAGCTTGACTTCAAGGGCAGGGCTGGATAATGGAATTACCCAGGTTAAACAGTGCTCTGCCCAGAGGCAGGGCTGTCCCTCACAGCCCCTTCTGCACTGCGAAAGGACTTTAGGAGCCCTTGGGCCTCTGTGCTGTACTGCAAGTGGAAATGCTCAGTATGTGTGAGCGTTCCAGTTATCCGCTCGCGGTACGAACGAGAGAGCGGACATTTGTTTCCAGTTAATAAAATGAAGAGATTGTCCATTTTTTTAGGAAGATACTTCTTGGTGTCATGTCTCAGCTGACCTGCAGTATTATTAGAAATGTGCATGTCTGGTAAAAAGATCAAAGAGGCTGCCAAAAACAAAAGGGAGCTTGAACTGCATGTGAAGAGAAGACTGTGCTCACCCTGTGCTACTGCATTAGCTCTGCTAAGGCTCTTCCAAGACCCATCTAGCAGGAAAAAGTTTGTCCTTATTGCAATGCCAGCATCCTTTCTGAAGAAAGTAGGGTTTGTGTTCCAAAGCTAATAGATGAAATTTGATATTTTTTTTCAAGGGCGATATTCTTCTTTCCTTACTTTTACGTTATTTCCCATGTTTATATTTCACACTGTTTATTTTTAGGTGTACACAATTTTATTAGTGATGCTTTTGGGAAAGCAGTGTTGTTTGCCTTCCTTTAAAAGCTATGTCACTTCATTCAGAACTACTGACTCAGTTTCTTTGAAGTTATGACATTTCTAATTCAGGCACACTGGTTTCTTACTCAAATGATGCATCTTCTCTAAATATTTTAAAATAAAACACTTTTACTTTCTTAATTTAAAAGGATTATTCACAATGTTTGGACTTTCCATTAAGATGATTTTGAGAGGTTACTCATACTGTCTGTAAGCTACAGTTCCGCAAGCCCCATGGGATCAGATAATTATAAAAATTCCTAATACAAAAACAGCTTAGGATTTTTGAGTGTTCCAAGTGTGGACAGTATATAAAGGCAAGAAGGTAAAACCCACTGTTATGGGTTGTGGGAAAAAGCCACGAAATAAACCTGACACATTGTTGGCATTACAGAATAACACACCTTGCAACACCCATCTCCGAAAAAGGGAGGGCAATAGGTCAGTATATATCAAAATGTTTGTGTCCATCTATAAACCACAAAAGAAAAGCAATTCACAGGATTTTGTGAGGACAATTTTCAGTGATCCAGGTGGGACTTGCACTATGCCAGGCCCCAAGGGACAGCCCTGCATGCAGGAAAACTGTTCTGCCTGATATTGCAGGTTAACTCTCCAATAATCAGAGTTGTATTTTAACACCCTCCTTGGCCTCCCCATCATGTTTCTCCTTCTGTCACAACAGACATGAGGAGCAGGGAAATGTAGTGTTTCTGTTCCCCACAGAGAAGCTAAACAGAAATGGGAACTTGCAAAAATACCAAACTACAGGAAAAGGGAATTTCTCTGCAATTTTGGCAAGTAAGGAGTCCATCTCCCTCCCCTCTTTGTTATTTCAATACCATTTCCAGTTCTGGAAAAACAACCGAAACAGAGAGCAAGCGAGGAATGACTGTAAATATAGAAAATATTCTGAAGCAGTTGCTCTTTCTCTGTCCTTCATATTTATTACTTTCCTTCACTCCCTACTTGCCAAAGCAAGAGCACATTTGCAAGCACCGCTAATTATTAGAGGATTTTAGAAAACTGATACAATTTATATTCTAATAGCTCCCAGGCAGCAAGGGAATTTATTACTAAAGCCCTGCTGCAGCTACATTGCTTTCTTATTTCTTGTATACTCCTTTGAAATATCTTGTAAAATGATCTTGACAAGAGATCTTGAATTGAAAACCGAGGGTCTGTCACTGCACTTTCATGATGCACCTGTACAGCATCTTCAATCACCAGCAACAAAGAACTTTTATTTATTAGGAAACTTCACAGATGCTGTATTGCTATCAGAGACAAAATGAGGCCTGAGGCCTTCACAGAAAACCATTATGGCCATTAGGAGTGGTTTCATTTCCCACCTGCCCAAACAGATTGTTTTCATTTTGAAGGCTGTTGTGGGTTTTCAGGTTAGTGCTAAATGATCACTTTAAAATTAACCAGTCTTGGGTGGCTGAGTAACACACCAGGATACTACATGAGACTTACAGGCATAGGTCCAAGATGTGTAACAAACCTGGGTGATCTAATTCCTGGAGTTTATTTATGTTTTTCATCTATCATGAGTATAAACAGCACCTATCAGGCATGTTAAAGGAGCAGGCAGTGAGGGTAACAGCTGAGAAACATTATCAGAGACACACAGAGAAAGATTTCTTTTATGATTAATGCCACATACAGCCCAGGCAGTCAGACAGGAAGTCAGACCAGAGGGGTGTTACATCAACCACTCTGCTGCTAAGACATTTTAATTTTTCCTTAAAATGAG